AGGAATTGTGATTATTAGGGCCCAGTGGCACAGAAGCACTGTGTGACATGCACAATGGTGAACATTATGTACCCTGGGATCTCAGACTTTACAATATTGCCCCAAAATTACAGTGAATATCATATTATATCATTATTACTGGATACTTTTGAGTTTGAAAGAATATACCGATCCAATATTGTCCAACACAAATGAAGTATATACTCATGCAAATGCATAACATGATAATGATTCAATGAAGTCATTTGTAATCCTAATATTCTTTTGCAAAAATGATTACCACTACAAGATAAATAGGATAATAAAGTTTATGAATGTCAACATAATGTAAACCTCAAAAATGCAATTTCAAAATGTAAAGTAACCCAAAGGTAGGCTCAACTTTCATTTTACCTGCTGAAGAAAGATTTAAAATACCAAGAGGAATGACAAAAGACAATCCTTATCTTCTTTGGAAAAGGGTGAATTCTATTGATAGCAACTAAAGGATTCTTTGCAAAGTAGTAAGGCATGAATACAAAATTTAGGGGAAAAAAAAGTTTGATCAACAAAGAGACAAACAACATTTGGCTCAAAAAACATATTAAATAAAAGTTTTTTTTTTTTTAAGATTTATTTATTTATGCATACAGAGATGGAGTAGAAGCCAGAGGTATGAGAAGAGGGTGAGTGAGAGGATTCACTAGAGAAAGGGTGGGGAGCAGAAGACACTGACTGATGAAGTACTAAAAGGATTTTTTTTTAATTGATAAGAAAAGAAACTGATGACAATGGAAGAAACAGTGACATCCAGACAGTCCAAATCGCATAAATTAAGAAAATTATACACAATACAAGTAAAAGCATAAATCTATCCATTACTATGATATGATATTTTAGAATCAGACAAATACTTTCTGGCTATATAAACTGAAGGACATATTGAACTGTGTGTCTGTATTAGACCATGTCAACAGTTATTTTCCTTTACTTCTTTAGACAGTAACTCCTATCAAGTGAGATATTCAAACTACATTCCTGTGGCCTGAAATACACACTTAGAAAACTAACACAAAAATATTAAATATGTGCTAATCTGTAAAATCCTCACATTTGTCTTTGGAAAGTATATTTTCTATGTGTTTTTAATAAAGCACATTATGAGAATTTATTACTAAAATATATGAAGCCTTTACTCTAAAAACCTGTACACAATGAATGTGTGCTTAAATTAGTTCCTTCTTTTCAGAGTATATCAGTGTTAACTACTCATCTTACTCTCTCACAACTCAATTACCTTGTCCTTTTGCTTCTCTGGTTAAAAACCTTTTACCAAAAAGATGAACACTGAGAATTCTTGTGGAATATTTACAATGTTACTAGAAAGAACATACGAAATTATAAAGCTAAAAAGTAACATGGGTTCAAAAGCACAAGATCCATTAGTAATAAATTTAGCTTTTCTTTTATAAACAATTTGAGGGGGAAAAAATGTTACTTAGAACTTCATCCTTCAAATTAGTCTTTGAATTTTTGTTTCAAGTTGCTCCACAAGTATATTTCTATTACTTCTATGCTAATATTTGTCAATATTATGAAAAAATAATAGACAGCTTCAGTGGTAATACTACTACTCAGAGCACATAATTGTAGTAGCTCTTTTCTTATGAGGCTACTATTTACTAAGCACTTCATTTCTATTAGTTCATTTGATCAGCATGATAATCTTTTGAGTGGGCTTAATAATGATCCTTTCTTTATCTTTTGATATTTTATAAAGGAAGAAACAAACTTGTTACTTGCCTTAGTTTTAATCATTATATTAAATTGAATCATAATTGAAAATTTATATATAGATATTAAACTAAAAGGTAAAAATATTTAATATTTAACACTTATTATTTAATATTCCAAGGTTTTTAAAAATGAGCTTCTACAACCTTTGTCTATACAGTGAATCCAGTAGAGATAATTGTAATAAAAGACATAATTTTAGAAATTTAAAAACAATCTGAATAATAATAAAGCTAAAAAAACAGCAAAATTATGTTGGTAAATATCAAGTTCTGTACTCTCAAGGGCACAATGAAAACTGAAGAGTACTCATGAAAATTGAGACACGGGATAGGATATTATAACACATGTAAACATTCTAAGAGCATAAGCTTGTCTTCCCTGATCTTGAATACTTAATGAACTGATTGCATAATAACTTGATAATGCTGAGAACCTTTCAATACCTTGAAGAAATCAAACACTTTTTGGTTCCAAAGTTATGATATTGGACAGCTTTAAATTTGGCCTTTGAAAGAGATTATGCCAGATGAATTTTATTATCTTTCATGATATAGGGGCCTTTTTCAAAGAAAGATAAAATAATTTTTATTCAGTTGTGTTGAGCTACATTTCTTTTTCCATGGTATAATTCAAATAGCAGTTAAGTACAGAATTTTACAGATCATCTTCTTCAAAAAACCCTTATAGAAGTTCACTAGCGCTTTCCCTAGAGGCTGCCTAGGGGTGATAGGGTGTAGAGACAGAGATAAAGGGCATTTGACTGCCCTTAATGTTTGCAATTGCATTAGATTATTTTTTATTTGTGTGTGTGTGCATGTGTGTGTGTGTGTTTTAACAGAGGCTTAGGGTAGATACATTAAGTATCTTCATTTTGAAGACAATGTATCTATCTCAAATTCAAATTCATCTTTCATATAATACACTTACAATTATATCCTCAGCTGGATAGCAAATCAGATTCTAAGAACTTTTAACACAATGCCCTTGGTTAGAGTTATCTAATAAGGATTATAGTCAAAGGGCCAATTTAATATTTTTATTAGTAGTCAAAACAGAAGAGTTAAGATTATGTATCTCATGTTTCTAATTGATGCTAATTTTGATATGGTGAGCAAATTATAAGCAACCTGTTAAATCATATGAAAAATCACCTAGAAATACAATGATGTGTAACAGCATTTGGATTCAGGACTAAGAGCAAACATATATCAAAGTGTAGAAGGAACACACAGGTAACCATAGAGTAAAAAATAAAAATGAAAAACGTTACTTGTTAGTCAACAACCATGATGTCTATGAAGGGAACAAATAAGCTAACAGCAGTTGACTGCATTAGTAGCAATGAAATAAGAACAAGGCTTCCATTTTATTTGACATTGAACTGACTAATTAGAGTGTGCTTTTTAATAGTCTCACTTGAGAATTTTGTTTAAAAGTTATAGAAGAACTAAGAACAAAAAATATACTAAATTATTCCTATGAGCACAAGACAAAGAAAATGAAGTATTTATCTTGGAAAAAAGATGATCACAGAGAATACTACTTCCCTCTAAGGCTATTAATAATTATATTAAATTGTAATTCTGTCCTACAGAGGACTGCTAGATATGAAGGATATGTAGAAATAATGACAAGATAATTTGACCTGCTATAAGTAAGCCATTCTGAGAATAAGGACGGTTTTAAAGTACTGGAGCATCCAATTGGGAGAGATTATAAGACTTTTATTATCCTTCCATGCCTTTTAGCAAAGAAAAAAAATGCATTCCCTATTCTGGTTCCCTTATCCTATTTCATGGGTTTATTTTCTCAAATATTCACTTAAGGATACTAGAAATAGAGGGATTTCTTCTTCACACCTTCAGGATGTCTCTCCTGATCCACCTATCCTGCTAGCTTTAGGTTGCTACTAATCCATTGTTCACTAGTCTATACAGATATAAAAGCCTCTGAACAAGAAGAAAATAATTGTTAAAGTTACTCTGCAATTTAGACTAAGTTCCACAACACTATCACATATCCTATTCACATTTCCCAGACTCACCAGGTTGCTAACAAATATATACCTGAGCTTTTTTCAAGACACCCAAATGATTCTTTTTTTTAATTGCACTCTTCACTTCTTCACTATAACATTTATGTGTGACAGTTTGTTAACAATTAAATCCAGAGTGTGTCAAAGTTAACTCCACTCATGCTTAAAAAGTCCTAGTAAATCTTATAAGTATAAGCATCTGCCACATTCCATATATCTACTATTTTTGACCATAAGTATGAGGCTCTTAAAAGACTTCAGAAATGGGGTGTCCTTTCATCAGGGAAAAATAGGCATTTTTGTTTATTCTGGGTAAGATAATTCTAAATATATCCCAGATCTTCCACAGGATCAAGCCCCAGTTGCCCAGTAGCTCATTAATTATACCTTGTCAGTGTCCTTCTCCATGCCTCAGCCCTAAGTTTTCCTACTAGACTAACAACATACGTCTTTATTTCTTAGTATCCCTCCAGATGAACCCATTCCAATATAAGCTATCCCATAACTTTAAACATATATTTTCTAAACAACTTCCACTATCTTTTAAATAACATATATAAAATACTCCACATTAACATTTCATAACAAGCAAATAATTCTTGTCACTGTGCAGAGTGAACACAGCAGATGGAATGCTCACATCCTCGGGAGAATGTGATGCCCCCCCCCGCCCAGGGTACCCCCCAAGCAGGCCACACCCAGACTAGGACAGTTTGTTCCTGACAGCTCCACGTTAGTTTTCTTAGGAGAGCACTGTAATACTATGATCTAGTGTGAGAGGATCTGGCGATAGAAATACTGTTTTAAACTTGTTTTCTGACCAGCACACTGGTATAAAAGCATCACTTCCTTTCTGTTCATGAAAAGAAATCAAATGACTCCATATTTTTCTTTGACTCTTAATCATGCTATGTGACACTTCTATGAGTCACACACACATGAATTCTATCATTTCTGTACACACACTGGTTAGTTGTGTTTATTTGCATAAGTTATACCCGAATACAGAAGTAAACGTGTGGTTTGTGACAGCAGTCTGACTTTGGGAGTGCATATGATTTTCTAAATTTCTAGTGGGTTTCAGCATTGACATTACAGCATAAAAATAAAACACTTCTTGCAATCATTCCGGACATTCCAGATGGTAAGGAGGATTGTAATAATTTAATGGAAGGTAAAGAAAACTTACCCGAATCATCATGACTGAACATCTGATATCATGAATTGTATCATAGATCTTCTTTGAGATGTCCACAAATTGATTGTCATCAAACACACTTAAGGAGTTTTTACTTAAAGCTTCCAATGCAACATTCACTTGTGTTACAAATTCAGGAATTGCTGTTAAAATAAATAACAAAGAAAATATTGTCATCACTGTCTTTTTGGATTTCTGGAATTTCCAGGCATCGAACAATCCTATCTATAAACAAATTATTTGCTTAACAGACTTCTGGTTAATTTTCTTTAAATGTAGAGAGATGTAATAGAGAGGGATTTCCATAAAAAAAGGGCGGTTCCTTGTGACCTGCCCTAACTAATGAAGGCTAGAGCTGAGCAATGAGGGGAAGGGAAGGTAGAGAGGACTTAGAAGAAAGCTTGAAAGGCAGACTTGATGGAGACACAGGCAACAGAGAGATGTGAGGAAGAAGTCTTCTTTCTCAGCTTTGGACTTGCACCAAGGACTTGGAAACATGAAGGAAATGTGTAGTGGAGACATGTAAAGACATTTGGAACAGACTTGGATGAGAGACTCATAGAAAGGTTGAAAATGGCAGCCTTTAACTTGATTTGTACTTTGTCTTGCTCCTTTAGACTCAGACTTGCCCAATCCTTCTGCCCTTTTCTGTTGTCCCTGCCAGGAGGAGTCTTAGGCTGTGCCAAGCTTTTGGGCTTTAACTATCCTGTTTTGGGCCAGCCCAATTTGGTTGGGGTATTTACCCATGTGGGTAACTTTAGATGCTTTATTGGGAAATACTATCCTTTCTTCTCTCTCTGTGCACACAATTTTGTTAAAGTTTTTTCACACTAAAAGTTTCTTTGTCTTTATATAGTGGATGGCAGAACCCATGTGGAGCATGCAAAGTTGGGGATCCCGAGTACTCCTCAGTCTGCACACTAACAAAGACACAAAACATTTGGAAGGATAATCTCGGATCTCTGAAAGGTAAAAATAGTGAAAGATATTTTTATAGAAATGTTTGAAAGTAGTATCTATTTTTATAATATCTTTACTAATAGCAAGACTGGGACTATACCAGCATTTTTCATCCTATTGATTAAATGCTCCAAGAAACTTTTAAAAGTGGTATGAATAAGAACTGAAATGTTAAACATAAAGATCTTCAGAGAATACAAAGTATTTGATTTGTTAAATAGGAGACAACTTAATTAAAGGTACTAATTCTTTCTCATCACAATTCAAAAAAAAATACTAGGTGGCAAGATATTTTTCCTACCATCAATGGGATTAATGAAAATAAATCACAGTAAAATGCTTCTAAAATTGACATAGCACTGAATGAGTGTAAGGATAGATATATCAATAAAGCCATTTCATAGATTTTTTTAAAACTAAGATTTCCAAATGGTCTCAATTAAAATATATCCCCAAGTTTACTTTCAATGCTAATGACAGTAACATTCATTAACTTTTCACTAGATTGAAGGCACTATTAAGCATTCAATGTGATTTAAATCTTAAAATAATCCCAGTATAAACCCAAGGTTAATACTTAGTTGAACCAGAGGTTAATATTTAGTTGAATAATGAAGACAAAGAGAAATCAACACTCTTACCCAGAGTCATTCTTCTAACATATAACAGAACTGATTTTCAACCTAATCTAGAATGCAGTCTATACTCTTCATTAATAATGTACATAATTAACATTACATATACTATTATGTATAATATACATAATTAATATTATAATATAGTTAATGTATAGTATAATTAATAATGTACATAATAATATATGATACTGAAGACACTTAAACCCATGTAAAGACAAATTATAAAAACAAATTAATTTTTAGTGTAATTTGGTGTTTGGCTGCAAACCTGAGAACCAGAAGTATTTTATCTGGTACAAATATAGGTAAGTACCTTTTATTCCATAGCTAAATCTCCATCTGCTTACATGGCATCCAGTTTTTGTACCATGCCCTATCCTTTTTTCCTCCCTCACTATATATGTATCAAAATGTCCACTAAATGCAACCTCTTCTGCCATAAATATCAATTTTATCTGCCATATTCTTGTTAGGGAGAACTGTTAGTAATATAAGTGGGCTCTTATATTTTATCTAATTCTCTCTTTACTTACTAAATAAGTTTATTTATACCCTATTTCTTAGCCCTCTATCATTCTCTAGCTATATTGTACAATGGAAAGTGTCATTGGGATGCAGTTATTTGAAATTAAATTGAAAAATTAAATTGAAAATTCAGTTTCTCATTCACACCATATTTCAAGAGTTCAATTAATTACTCTTTCAAAGAGTGGGGATGTGGAACATTTCTACTCTACAGTGAAATTTATCAGATCACTGCCTCCCTTTCAGTGAATGGAGTAACACTCACTCTTGTCTAGGAAAATAGTCTAAAAACCACAGTTCCAGTCTACATACATGTGACTCCCAGAGTATATCTCTAATCTAGATCTCTTTGTTTTTAATTGTAGAACTGTCTAACAGCCCACTGAAAAATTATTTTGGAATCTGTCATAGGAGTGAGAAGATTGGAAGGAACGATGGTGATGGTGCATGGGGTGGTGGAAATTTCAACAGGATTACACCCAAGATAAAAAAGCATACATTGTATAAAAATGAATAATAATATTAAAATATGTATAAAATATAGGTTTTTAAAAAAGAATGTTCTATTAAAGTTAAGTATAATTTGTGGTCTTTAAGAAAATAAACCTTTATATAACCTCAAATTTATGCTATCTAAACCTAAACAACCTAAATATATCCTTTTCTAGTCAGAAAAAAAAATCTATATTTTTAACTAAATTTAGTGTTTATTTTAGTTTAATTTGCCGGTAATTTTATTCTTGTTTCTGCATATTTCACATGAGTGAAATCATTGTTATTTGTTCTCTTTCTGACATATTCTGCTTAACATAATCCCCTCTAGTACCAACCATGTTGTCACAAATGACACCTAACACCCTATTTTGTATGCACATTTCTCAATCCACTCATCTATCATTGGACACAAATTGTTCCCTTGACTTTGCTATTGTAAATAATGTTGCAATGAACATTAATGTTGCAATGAACATATCTTCCTTCAAATTCATGCTTTTACATTCTTTGGGTAGATATTTAGGAGTAGAATTGCTGGATTATAGGTTAGATTTATTTATAATATTTGTAATATTTTGAGAAACCTATATATTCTTTCGATAGGTGCTGGACCAGACTACATTCCCACCCAGTTTTAAATCCATTGCAAATTCTACTCTCATTGCCTCTATGTCATTTTCTACTGCTTGAGTGTTCATCATGGGTCTTCTCTTGCCCAATTTCTTTTCATTATTAGAACCTTTTGTATGTTAATCGTAGCAATGGAATTTCTTAGCATTAAGCACAGCACCATCTACCACAATACAGTTGTTCAGTAAGTCATTTTTTTTAATGAAATATGTCACTACATTATTTGCAATTTTCCAGTTTTAACATGAAGTTTTCCTTGTTTTATCTCAAGTGCCTTTTCTGGCATACAGAAACTATACAATTGAATGAACTAAGGGATAAATGAATGAATGAATGTATCATGTAAATGGCAGACTAAAAAATAGGTACAATACAACAAACTCCGCATGCATTTCAGCGTGACTTAGGTTTTGTTCACTCAACAGAAAGTTCCAAAAACCATGTTTATGTGGATTTATAAGAGCACTGAATATGTATAATGAGGTAGTCTTTATTTTTATAGTTTTGAAAAGAACTTTAGAAAGGTGTCCACTCATTTTATATTCCCTTTAGTTTCTAATAGTGAATAGCAAATCCTTCCATCAATAATGCTACTCCACAGAACAAGGAAAAGTGGTTTCCAGACATTGAGATTCTCTACTAACTTTAAAAACATAAATAGAAAGAGATATGGCTCAAACAATGGCACTTTGTTATTGACAAAACATTTTTCATAATCTTCCACATTAATGTAAGTTTTTCCTCTTCTACTACACAAGTGTGAATGCTACAATAGTTTAATTCTATCAACACCTTCAATCTGTTACTAGCATTTCAGTCTGGCTGAAATACTAGCATTTCTGTCATCTTCCTGTGTACATCTTGCCAAAAAAAAAAAACAACACACACACACACAGAACATCATGAAAGTCATGTGATATGAGGAAGACAAAGAGAGTAGGGTATTATAAGGAAAAGACTTTTTTTCATTATTGTAACATGATTTCATATTAATGTCTCTAGGGGTCTTTTAATTAACTAGTATTATCTTCAATTAATATAAAATCATTTAAAAACAAATGCTTCATTTCTGAAGTACAGATGGAAACTACTTTATTTTTTGACTTTAACAGCATAAACAAACTATTCAACATTATATAATACATTTCTCATTTCATTAGCTTAAGCATTAGTTGTGCACGTGTTTTACCCATACGATGGACATATGGATGCTTGGCTTAGAAGCAGAGTGGAAGTTCTTTTGTAATATTTTCAAGAAAATACAAAATGAGCATGATAAAGTAGTTAATGATAGTTATGAATAAACTGACAAGACTGAAAGAATAATATGGTGACAAACCTATCTTAAACCCATAACCTACCTCAGTTTTCATAAAATGAAAACTATACATAACTCATATTGTATAATAATTGATGAAAACAGAGGTTACCTAAAACAAATCCAATATAACAGAAACATTAGGTAGGATAAACTATCCTGAACATTGAAATGTAGAATTTATTAATGAAAAATAGCCTTTGTGTCAATCATTGTTATCTTGAAACTTGGAGTATCTTGTCTGTTTTATACTGCCAAATCCTAAACTAGGATTGAACTCTTAAGTTCTGTATTTTGACTTTCAATTTCATTCAGAATATACAATAAATAGTTAATATTCACTGCATGCTTACTTACCTTGGCACTCTACTAAGCATATCATGCATTTTATATACACTGCATTTCAAACCTCATAAGCAGCCCCTCAGAGACAGGAACTATGTATACCCTGATTTTACTGATGAGGAAACGGAGGTTACACAAAAATAAAGGGCAATCTGCTAATTAAGATTCCAGAGTTTTCTCTCTGAACCCCAAAGATACACTGCTTCCTTTTAATAAATAAAAGTCTTGACGT